GACCGTTTATCTCTCGTCGGTCCTTCTTATCATCACGTGACTTGTACTATAGTTCTTCCGTTCCGAGTGAGTCCCTGTTGTTCCCGTGATCCTGCAGTACAAATGTCCTGTCCTAGCCGCCCGACGCCCAAGTGGGTCGGTCAACTGTTATCCATGCATAACGGGTCGTAACACTTATATTAATATAAGTAAACTTAATAGCTTTATTAGAATAGTAGATATAATAAGTAATATTACTTAAAGAATAGTTAGCTTCTATAATAACTAAAAAGTAATAAGTTAATATACTTTATTTAAAGATATTATAATAAGTTATAATATTATTGAGCTTTTTAGTTTTAGCTATAATAGATATATATTTTAAATAAGAGATTTTATAAATAAGTTCTTAAGTTTATTTAGAGGGATATTACTAAATATAAACTAATATTTATAAAGATTTTAATAGAACGTTAGAGAAGTAGTAGACAAATAACTAAAAAGTATATAAAAATCAACTTTTATATAATAAAATAAGTAAGAAAGAACTAAATAAAGTTATAGAGAGGGTTGTTTTTGAATTTAAAGTTCTTAGGGATAAGCTTTTTAGTATTAGAGAAACTAATAAACTTAATATATTTAGAAAGTAAATTTTATAGTTAACTAGAAAAAGAGATTTTATATCTTTATTAGAGTTAGAGAGAGTAAGCTGTATAAAGTTAATTATAGTAAAATAATAAAAAGGAAATAGGTAATAATATATAGAAGGTATTATTTATAGAGACTAAATAAGTAATAGCTAGATCTATATAAATTAGTAATTAATAAAGATTTAGATCTAATTAATTTATAAATTAAATAAACTAAACATATATCAAAAATATACCCATAATAATAATAAGTTCGTTAAATAATAGTATGAAAGATTAAATAACTTATTACTATATAAGTTGATAAGAAAAAGAAAATCTAAGAGTAAACTAAATGTAAAAGGTTATATTATTGTATTATTTATTTATAAAGTATAAGATAATTAGTAGTTTGAATTAATAAAGTTTTAAACCTATTTTTAGCTTATATTAACTACGTTTAGTTTATATTAAACCTATAATTATATAAAAGCTAAAGGGAGAGGTATATATTATAAGCTATACTTACTTATTATATCTAAGTAATACTACAAACTACTAAGAAATCTACCCCTAGTAACTATATTTACTTGATAAGCACTTTATATCTATTTTTCCTCTATATAAAGAGTATGTTAGAAACTTCCCTTCTTTAGCTTAAGTTACTAGAATTAAAACACCTCTAAATTAAATAAACTAAAAGCTAGCCCTTTATAATACCTTTGTATTCTTTTTTATTAAGAAGAACTTTTAACTAAAAGCTATAATTATTAATATATATTTAGAAATTATTTAAGTTTTCTATTCTCTCTTATTATAGCTAATATAGGCTTTTAGCTTATAAAGCTACTTATTAAAACTTATATTAATAATATAATAATACTATAAAAGCTTTATAGATACTATTTTCTTGATAAACTATTAAACTTTTATATATCTTTTATCATATTATCCTACTCTTTTTTAAAGAAACTATAATCTATTTTAAACTTCTTATAAAAAGTATAGTTTATTCAAGAGAGATCTATAAACCTCTTTACTTAGAAAGTCTTTATGTTATCTTTAGAGAGAACTATTATAATTAAGGATTTTTATATTAAGTAGTTAGAAATATATATAAAATTTTGAAAATATTATAAACTTCTAAAAAACTAACTTATAAGTTTAAATAATACTCTTAGAGAACTTCTTAAGGTTTATAATATATTATAACTAATAAGAATAATAAAAAACTTAGATTTAGTTAATCTAAAGAACTTAGTTTTTTATACTCCTTAGAAAGATCTTTTTACTACTTAGAAATATTATTATATATTTATAAGCTATTCTTTAGTACTATAAATAACTTATTAATATATTAGTTAATATAAATTAGACTATTAATTAATAAATTAACTTAGATATATATTATATATATCCTTAAAAACGGGTAAAACTCTATACGTAGTTTTTATAGGGCCTACTATTCTCACTAGGCGGATTATCTATTTATTTAGGCTACCCTTAGCTGCTAAGAAGCGCCATTTTAACCCCTGCAATCTGACAACCCTGTTCTAGTACTTGGGGACCCTGAGGTTAAGATGTATATGTGGAAGGGTAACGAGCTGTGATGTAGGGCTAGGGGCTGATGACAACAATGCTGAAGAGCAGTGTGGAGGTAGCAAGCGACACGGGCAAAGCTGCCGTCCAGGTGCATCCAATCGTTGCAGGGTACCTACCGATTTCAGGGCTAACATCGGGAGGTACCTTCTGTAAGTACAGCAAGAGTGCAGTGGATATCTCCCGATTTCACCACTACAAATCGGGAGGCATCACTCAAACGGTGACAAGGTATTCCACCGTTCATACGAGCCACCCGTACTTGACGGTTGTCCACCTAGGTAAGGTACCTTGAGGTACACCGTCAAGCTTGCGTTTTTTGAGAACGCCTCATCCCGTCATCCAATTGGTCCCTGCGAAAGTGTGGCCATCGCCCGGCCGCCGCAGCGCCATCCGCGGGCACTCAAGCTCTGCTAAAGTCTGACAGCGCCGACGTTTGCTTCCATGCTGTCAGCTAGAGCCCGGATTGATATCTCCGGCTTCGCCGGAGCAGTTACCGAGATCCGACTCCGTTGGACCCACTATTCTGCCGCAGTACGCCGCCTAACCCGGCCTGCTTCACCGCTGTTAGGTGCCTACCCTTGTAAAGTCCTTTCTTCCTTCTTCAGCTTAGAATAGTCAATCGACGGCACCTCTACGTACAAGCCTAGGGGCCAGCCCCTTACAGTGGGCTGCCAAAGAGGTTCATCCGCACTCATATACAGACCGTGATGTCTGGGACTGGACAGGAAATAATAAAACTCCATAATAGAGAGAGTTAAAAGGTACAAAGTACCTTAGACATATGTGTAGAAGAATTTGCGCTGGCAAAACTGTTGCTGCATTTACACACCACACAACTCCGAAACCTCCCACACACGTATAATTGAACGAATCTTAAGCTTCCAAAGCGGCTCGCCATCATCTGCCATTATCCGCCAACCCAACAACACGTAACAAGTGAAGCATTACAAGAAACAAGCCGACCACAACGTAAAATAGCAAATACTACAACGAAGACGACGTGCAACGTCGGTGGACAACAATAACAACTACGACGACGGACAGCGACGGCAACCAAAACAACAGCACCAACGGCCGACAACATGTATATCCCGATCCCACCACAACATCGCCATAACGACAGCGAAAATCCAGAGCTAGTCGTGAACGACTTCCTGGTGCCCTTCGTTGTGGCTTGTGCGATGGTCATGTTTCTTGTGGTCATGCAAATCTTCATCGGCATGCTCGTGCACTCATGGGAGGTTAGACAAAGATACCACGAGCTCCGCCTCGTCGCCTCATCAAGATCGTCGCTCTCGTCGCTTTCGTCCTTCGAGCCGCTGCCTGCGTACTCGCTCACGGATCCTGAGGTGACGCCGTTGCTTGGAAGTCCTCCGCCGGAGTATCACACCTTCCTTCGACAGGACGATCTCGACACACAAAACGAGGCAAGAGATGATTCTCTGGGCATAAAGGAGACTGCCGGCCAGTGGAGTACAATTAGCTTGGAGTGAATTAGTGCGGTGGACAGGACGTAGGCGGCGGAATATTCAGCAAGCGGCAAGCATTTGAATGAAAGAAGGACAACAGGGTTTTAGGCGAGAAGACACTAACGTATGGGAAGAGCAGTATCACCTATTCATATAACGTGGATTAATAGTGGAACTTCAAGGTTGTAGAGGCTCTCATTCAAAAAAAGCGACATACATCAGAGCGGTTTATCTACACATAATAAACACTCATTCATCTAACTAAAACCAGACGTTCCTAATAAGCCTAGGCATCACATCATAGCAGCTGGAATCGATCTCTAACAGCACCAGCGTAAAAAGAAATTCACTCACGTCACAAATCAAGAAAAAAAGAGATTGATGGGGCTCAATCGGGGATCGAACCCGAGACCTCGCCCATTTTCACGCTGTGCGCAAGGGTTGTAAGACCCGAAGGGCGAATCATACCACTAGACCATTGAGCCGACGTCGGCTGTGCAGTCCCTAGGGGACCGAATGCGTCGTGATTGGCAGGGTGGCCGATTTTGGTCACTATCTAGCCTAGCGCACGGGCACTCGCACATCTGTCCGCTGGATGCTGATGCCTGGGCCTCAAGTGACGAACCTGGAAAGCCTCTGGCTTTTCAAGGCGAAGAAGAACATGCATACTAAAATACTCAATTCGCTGACATTATTATATCTATCTTTACACAATCGTACAACTCGTATGAGCATCTATGCAGCGGGGACCTTGACGCCCTGCGCATCTTTAGGCGACAGCCCCGCCAACCTCCTGAAGCCAATGTTCTCAACAATCCTCAACCCCCCGTTCAGCGTGATAATCCCCTGTCCTCCAGCCGCCAAGCTCGCATCATGCTTCCCCATCGCCATCTCCGTCATGAACTTGCCCAGGTACTCGGTCGGACTCACAAAAGACGGCACCAGCGCCCTCGTCAGCGGGCCAATCATCACGTTGGCCGCGTTGTACACCATGCCGGGGTCCGGGATGTACTGCTTGATGGCTGTGTGCTTCTGGGCGTCCACGAAGGCCGGGCGGATGGCCTCGGTCTGCAGGCGGGGGTTGGCGGCGCGCATCTCGGAGAGGAGGGTCTCCGTCTCGCCCTTGACGCGGGCGAAGATGGCGCTGAACATGCCGGGCTTCTGGGTGGCGCCCTCGCCGGAGACGTAGACGAAGCGGAAGGGCTCGTTGTTGGGCGGCAGTGTTGCAAAGGCCTTTGCCGCTGCCAGTGTGTAGTCTTTTGTGATTTTTACGTATTCCCTACGCATGCTGTGTTAGAACCAGGATTTTCTGACATGCAGAGGGGGGAGTCAGCTTACTCCTTGGTGACCTTGTTCTGGCTGATGCCCAGCGCCCAGACGACGCCATTTGCGCCCTTCAACTTGTCGAGCACGTCGGGCTCATACTTGTCGAAATCTCTGTGAATAATTACATTGATCCGGGGGTCTCTGGCGTCGTCTACCATGGGGATCGGTCTCCTGCTGAGGATGGAGATCTTGGTGACGTCCTTCATCTTGATCATGGCGTCCAGGACGGACGAGCCGACCAGGCCAGTTGCGCCGGTGAGGATAAGGTGCATCGCGAGGAGGATGAGGTGATGGTATTACTGTATGAGCTTCTTGAGATCTTGAATCACGAATCTTGGCCGAAATATTCGCGAAACAGCTGGGTCAACGAATGTCTTTTAAACCCGGCGTCGGCAACGAGAAGCGGCCGCATTGTCCGCTCGCAGCGGAGAATGCTCAGCAACGAGCGGGCATTTCGTCCCCACTGCCGCCCCCGTAAGCCGCCGTAGGCGTCAGTGGACGTAACGGCGCCGGAGTTAGCAGTATCACCACTGAGAGCCCCGGCTTTGCCCGCTCTCATGTGGTCTGCTCACCGGAGCCGGGCCAATACGTTGTGCAGGACTCTTCCAGGTTCTTGTCCCAATCAACGGCCCCAGATTTCGGCCTAAATCAAGCTCACATGATGCTATTTATCGGGTGAATCTCTCACCATTCTCTTGATCTCATTCCTGTGGCTGAAGAGAAGAGCGTCAGCACCATGTCTGCCACAGCGGCCGCGCCGCCCGCTTCAGTGGGAGTCTGACAGGTAAAAGGCCTCCCGAAGCCGTTTTTCAGCGCTCTAGGCTACCGAATGCTTTCGCGTCTTTGCAGCCACCCGTAAACACCGATTAACACCGAAATTTGCTGACCATCTGCAGCATGCATTTTTCAAGACAGACTCTTCGCCTTCTTCTACAGCAATACATCGGATTCAACTTCCTCCGTCGGTCAGACTGACTTCGCCGGCGCAGTTGATGTTCAGATTTCGATCTGGTCGAGGTGTTCGCGTTTGCTCTCGATGGTGATGTTCGCTCGGAGTCAATTCAATTTGATAGATTGTCTTCCATGAGTCTAGCGACGAGAGCGACTGTGAAGCCGCTGAGCAACATTGGTTCTTCATATCGAAATTGAAGCATGCTTACTGGTTGCCAAATGCCTCAAGCACATAGCAGCATCAATTCCACACCACAGACCGCAACTCGCGATGAGAACAATCAAGCAGTCTGCAATGTTCTGAATTTGTTGAATTGCGATCAGAGGAAGTTCGTCTCAGAGAAAAGTGATGCAGAAACAGCCCCCGATGACTCACGTAAGCGTTGCTCAGGTACGCTCTCGGCCCCCAATCCAACATTCATCTCGACCATCGTTGTCACACGCATACTGAGCCGACGCGTGGGCGACGGGAAACTTTTAATTGCGGCAATGAGACCCAGACCTGCATTTGCAAAGCAGATCGAATCGGCAGCTCTGATGACACCGTGCCATCAAGGGCGCCCAAGCCAGCATCCGACCCAGCCACACGGGTGTCGCTATCGTGAACATCACAGATGATGGACGGCACGTCCAGCAGCGCCGAGCGCCAGAACAACATCGTCTCACCTCCGAAGCCGGTCCTTCGCTGCTCGATGTCTTCAATTAGCTTTCACGAGTTCTTCACTAGCGCGGCGTCTTGCTCAAGTTGAGACACGTGCGTGGCATGGTTTGTCCCGAGTCCTCGGATCATTAAACTATTAGAACCATCGCAGAAAAGAGAACAAGGAGAGGGCTGTCTCCTCGCGCGCCGTCAATGTGTGCTCTGCGGCTCACGCTGCATCGTCCGATGCAGGGGACGGTTCACCGGCATGTCACGCGCAAGGGGCAACCATCGACCTCCGACATGGACAATCACCGTACACGCTCACGTGGCCTCGGGCATGAAAGATGGAGGCCAATTTGAGCAGGTGCAAGCCGCTCTCTTGTTTGGAGAATGGGTCAAGCTAGCCGCCGTCGTGACCAAAACTCTGATGCGAGAAGCTCGCACTATTCGTTGCGGCCCAGTTCAACCCAAGTCGGTCTCCTGAGAACGGGATGGCCCATGCTTCGGCTGTGGACTATGAGAAGTGCTGAGCCGACGTATGCAGCAAACGGCGATGTACAGCAATCTGCTAACATGAAGTCTTCGCAACACCATTACCATGGTCACTGTGAGCAAGCAGAAGCTGCCTGCGGCGCGTACGCGGCCGCATCCCAGCGCGAGTCAGGCCAATAAACACTGAACCAGCGCCAACTTGGCGAGGTTTGGCTCCTGGTAACGGCCCGATCAAGTGGATCGCCTCTGTAACGCTAACGGCGACTGCAGGTCTGGACGCCTCCATTCATCCATGGCCAGGCCCGTTCTGGCGGGGCGACTTTAAACGACGAAGCTGGGGCGGGCTGGGGAAGAGAGCCCCCAAACGCTGAATGTTGCGGAGAAGAGATCCAGACGGCTCCAGACTGAATCTGGGGAGCAGAATACGGGGTCGCTGCGGATGGTTCTGCAGTGGATCGTGACTCTTTCAATGAGGGTCGCGGACGGCGACTTCAGCTCTGGCAGTCATGTGAGCATCAAAGAAACGGCCTAGAGAGTCTGATAAGGTTTTGCCTCTATCAAATGGCGAATGTCTTGGCCCCCCAGCAGGCTCCTCTGGCAATCCAACGCTCATCAGCTTGGCAGGAAATGAGTGGCACCAACAACACTTGGCTTGAACGCCCGACTCGGACCAGGGTTTGAGGGATATCTGAACATCCTCGTGTAGGAAGTCCACTACCATGTCCTGCCCATGGGGTTCCCCAGCCGTGCGATGGGGTCGGTGAGATGAAGCTGTGGAGGCTCGCTCCAGATGAGCACGCTCAACCAAACCTGTCAACAGGGAGGCGGGACAAGCATCATGCTAGGGGCCGCGCCAGTGAGTCTACCGTCGACGGCGGCCAAGTCTCTGGGAGCATGTCCATAGTCACGATCCGAGATGGAATAGGACACGGCCGTAGTCTCTCGTCAGTGACTGCCGCGCTCAAACGATCGATCAATATCTCGTGCATCTGACGCTATCGCGAAGCCAAGCATTCTCGACAGACGACTAGGAGATCAACTCGGTCAAACTACCGGCGCGCCAAGCAGGGATCGCACCGAGATGGCTTGCTACGGGCAATTTTCCAGCCACGTTCCGACAAGCTTCTAGCGGCTTACTTCTCTCAGTATAGCTTCACCGGCAGCACACCTCTTCCATTCGCATGATTGGATCAAGATATCCTTGGCAGACTCCGTAGCCGTCCTAAAGAGCGACGGCCAAGCTCAGCGCTTGTCCCCTTTCGCTCCCCCGCACCACTTCTCCATCCTCGCTGCCCATGGGGTTTTGGGTTGGTGTCGCCGCGAGAATCAGCGAGGAAATGCGCGCCCGGCCGTATTGTGGGCGGGTTGTCTAAGACGGCGTTCTTCCCGTCTGCGTGGCACTCACACCCAAGACGGCGCACTTGTCTCCTTTGCTTGCTAAACCCATCAGTCAACCTCATCACCCCCTGCCGCGCTATTTCTCTCTTCGCGGCATGCGAGCTCGACAGGCTGGGCAGGACTAGCGCCATTAACACGTTCCGTGGCATCGGTTCAGGTGCTTTCATCTAGTGCCATGTCTCGGCCCCGGTCCTGGTCCTGGCATCCCACGTCAAACATCGACGCGCCAAGGGCGACGCCGGATCTAGAGGTGATCCAAGCCCACCGGCCACATACCATGGGGAGGGAACCTGGGGGTGGATGGTTGGGGCTCAACGGGGGCGGTCCATCTTCTCCATGGGGATGAACATCACGGTTCGCCATGGAGCACTTTGGATAAAAGGGGGTCTCTTCCCCGGATATCTGGGGTTCATGCTTCTGGTCATCATCCGCAGCCCAGGAAGCCTCTTCTCCAGACACATCCCGGTGGTCCATCTCACCTCAGGAAGCACTTACACCCAAACATCCCAATCTTCGCTTCCTTCAAACACCACCACCAAGACCATCATCACAATGGCAGGCGGCGGCATCCCATCAGCCGCTCCCGCGCTGGCCGGCGGCTACCTCACCGGCCGCGCCCTCGTCTTCCCCCTCTCCCTCATCATCTCCCTCTTCTTCCTCTGGGGCTTCTCCTACGGCCTCCTCGATGTCCTCAACAAGCACTTCCAGACCGTCCTCGGCATCTCCAAGCTCGAGTCCACGGGCCTGCAGGTCATGTACTTCGGCGGCGGCTACCTCCTCTTCTCCCCCATTGCGGCCGAGTGCCTCAAGCGCCGCGGCTACAAGCAGACCATCCTCATGGGCCTCGGCCTCTACTCCCTCGGCGCTATCCTCTTCTGGCCCGTCGCCCACGCCTCCACGCAGACCACAAACACCCGCGCCGTCTTCGGCGGCTTCTGCGCCTGCACCCTCGTCATCGCCTGCGGCCTCGCGACCCTCGAGACCGCCGCCAACTCGTACGCCGTCGTCATCGGCAAGCCCGAGTCCGCCTCCGCACGCCTGCAGTTCTGCCAGTCCTGGAACGGCGTCGCCTCCTTCATCGGCCCGCTCATCGCCTCCAAGTTCTTCTTCTCCGGCGCCAACGCAAACTCCCTGACCAACGTCCAGTACGTCTACCTCGCCGTCTCCTGCGCCGGCGCCGCCGTCGCCGTGCTCTTCTTCTTCGCCCGCCTGCCCGAGGTCTCGGAGCAGACCATCGAGGACTCGGGCCCGTCCGCCGACGCCATGCCCGGCCAGGACGTCGGCCAGGGCCCCATCTACAAGCAGTACAACCTCATCTTCGCCTTCCTCGCGCAGTTCTGCTACGTCGGCTGCCAGGTCTCCATCGCCACCCTCTTCATCAACTACGCCCACGAGAACGGCGGCTTCACCGACTCCCAGGCCGCCAACATGCTGTCCTACGCCCTCATCACCTTCACCGTCGGCCGCTTCATCGCCACCGCCCTCGCCACCGTCTTCCAGTCCGACTTCCTCATGATCATCTACACCGTCTGCGCCATCGCCCTGACCGCGTACTGCTGCGTCGGCCGCGGCACCTCCGCCGTCGCCGTCCTCATCGTCATCTTCTTCTTCGAGGCCCCCATGTACCCGACTCTCTTCACCCTCGGCACGGCCAACCTCGGCCGCCACACCCGCCGCGCCGCCGGTATCATGGTCCAGGGTGTTGCTGGTGGTGCCGTCTTCCCGCCCATCCAGGCCGCCATCGCCGACCACTCCAGCACGCGCATCTCGTACGTTGTGCCCCTCGTC